TCTTTCTGATTGTGCGCACTTATTTTAGTTTCTATTCACTTTAAAGCTTCCACTTTCACAGATGCTATAGTTGGTAGAACTACAACTTAGCTTCTTCATCTGTGAGAAGTTTGTCCAAATATTTTCTGCTATATAGAAGGTTATACAGTCTAGCTACTTATGATAACAATTAAAACAAAGCAATTAATCAACAGTCGAGAAACTTATTATCAAAATGGTCCTAGTTAATTCTGGTTAATAACAATAAATTGTTGTGGTAAATAATAGTAAATTGTTCGAACTGCAAAACACATACTTCAATGCTTTGCTTTTTTATTATATGTATAGAGACTTTATTGCCAGGAGGAGGAGGAGGTTGTGAAGAAGAAGGGGGAAGAAGAGGAGGAGGAGGTTGTGAAGAAGAAGGGGGAAGAGAAGAAAAGCAAGTGTATTGTATTTTTTAATACTACTGTTTCCTGGTCTGATTCAACTGACCATTAACCTGTTATGTTTGAATTTTGCTTGCTGATGGATCTCCTTTGACAAATCGGAGTGGCCTAGTCCATATCAGACAGGTCTCCTAATCAGGTACGTTGGCAGAGAAAAAGGCTGAATGATGCTACATCAGTTGTTAAAACCCTTTGAGCCCTGACCACTACTTTACCGGTGGTAGAGAAAAATGACGTAATGCCCAGCCACCGGTTGAACAGTGGTAGAGAAAAATGACTAAATGCCAAACGACCGGTTTAACGGTGGGTAAACACTTGTAACTAATTTTATATCTACCGTGAAGTATTACGTACGTAGGTCTCAAAAGGGTTAATATTTAAAGATTTCTGATGCTACATTTTTATATTTGATCTTCTCAAATACACACATTCTTTTACTCCTAAAGTTTAATATTTTGCTTATATTCCGAAAGGCTTCTTCAGTCTTTACTATCTCTCCCAGTCGCCGGTTTACTATTCATACAAATACGTTAGATAAGTTACTCGATGTTTCCTTCTGCATTCATTATGCCATGTGAGTGTTAAATTCTCCAAGCCGTCCCTACTTGTTAGGTTCCAAGAAATTTAAATTCTCTCTTTCAGATTCAAAGTAACCACTGTTTTTTGGAAACGTCTCCCAAGAGGATGCTTCTCCGACCACTACGAACTTAACCTGTTCAAGTCTAACCGTTATATTCCCCATATAAATTATGCTCCTTCCTTTGTAACTGTTGTGTATGATACACCTAATTTACATAAGCGGACTACCGACCATATAAATATGGGTTGGTACCGGAAGACGGGGAAGATAGTAGAGATTAAGAAATTGAATCCAGAGACTCTGCCCGACTGCGATTTAGTCAACCCATTATGCAGGAACAGTCTTCCCAAGAATATACCAAACTAACTGTAAATATTGTGTACCTATTCTTTGTTTCAATACATTTTGTTAACGTACATTTTGTGTTGTATTATTCCATGCTTATTTAAGCTTCAACAGTAACCATCTATCCTGAGTGATTCTAGGGCCTTGTATAGATCGAACGTCAAAAAAAGTGTATCTTTTTTGTTTCCATTTACCTTAAAAATGTCCTCGTAACTCACATGTTCAGTCCATGCTAATCTCATCATTTGTCTACAGAAACAAGTCTTTCTTTGAAATTGTCCAGAACACAATTTTCAAGACACCATGCAAATCTCCCTTCGTACATAGATGTACATAGATTTACTTTATGTGACATGATGTGGGTGATCATGGCTTCCTACAATTTCCTGTCTTTTGGTACTCTAAATGAATCTTTGGCCTTAACTATGTCTCTTTGTCCTGATTCTGATAACAATTGTTATGTACGTTACTTGCTCTATACGTCCCACTTTTTTGTTTCCAGTAAGTCGTGTATGTGTGTTGTATTCTCCAAGCCATCTTTGTTCATTAAGCATCATAGAAATTTCAACTCTTTCTGGTTGTTAGCAGACATTTTCTTGCAGGTTCTTTTTAACTTAAAACCATCTTTTTGCTGGCATTTTCTTTTTGTCCTTGCTAATCTCAGTAGCCGTCTGTAGAGCGATGTCTCACTTTGAGTCACTTCTTCATAGGTGAAGAAATTGTCCAGTATTCATTGCAGTATCGGAGATTGAACATTACATAGTCGTTCAGCACTCTTTTTTGTTTTGCCAAGAAAATGTTCTTTTCTTAGCATACTTTGCTGATTTTAGTTTTCATTTTCTCTAAAAACTTAATCGTTGCTCATATATTCAGTCGATGCCAATCTCAGCCCCTTTCTTTAAAGCCACATTTCTGTAGCCTCAAATTTCTTCTCCGTCTATGAGACTATCTAGCGTTTACTATCACACACGGACACCGACATTACGTAAGAGATCAGACCTTTTTTTTTCTAACGAAATATTCTTCTTCCTTAATTTTACGGTTAGTGACGTCATCATACATTTCCAGGTTGACATGGAACATAATTTTCAAGATTCTATCTCCTTTAAAATGGATACATAGATCCACTTTATGTGATATGACGTGGGCGATCATGGCTTCCTACAATTTCTTTTTGGTACTCTAAGTAAAAGTTTGAACTTAACTATATCTTTGTCCTTATTCTGTTAACAATTTACTTGCTATCTGCGTTACTTGCTCTTTGCCTCCCGTTATTTTGTTTCCAGTAAGTCGTGTTTGTGTGTTTTATTCTCCAACCCATCTTTGTTCATTAAGCATCATAGAAATTTCAACTCTTTCTGGTTGTAAGCAGAAATTTTCTTGCAGGTTCTTTTTAACTTAAAACCGTCTGTTTGCTTACATTTTCTTTTTATCCTTGCTAATCTCAGTACCCGTCTGTAGAGCGATGTCTCACTTTGTGTCATTTCTTCATAAGTGAAGAAAATGTCCAGTATTCAATACTGTATCAGATATTTGACATTCAGCACTCTTTTTTTGTTTTGCCAAGAACATTTTCTTTTCTTAGCATACTTTGCTGATTTTCTGGAAGGCATCTTTTGCTAATTATAGGCGCCTTCAGATTTTTGTGTCCCGCTTTCCGTAAAAATACAAAGAAAAGACCCAGACAAAGATTGAACTGGAAAAAGGAAAAGAGACGAAAACCGAAATTCAAAATGGAAGATATAAAGAAAAGAGAACAATGAAAACGGGAAAAATGAAGAAATTCAAGTTGATAAAGAATAAAGAAAAAAGAAAGGGAGAGAGAGAGAGAGAGAGAAAGAAAGAAAGGGAGAGGAGAGAGAGAGAAAGAAAGAAAGGGAAGAGAGGAGAGAGAGGGAGAGAGAGAGAGAAAGAAAGAAGGGAGAGGAGAGAGAGAGGAAGAGAAAAGAAAGGAGAGGAGAGAGAGAGAAAGAGGGAGAAGAGAAAGAAAGGGAGAGGAGAGAGAGAGAAAAAAGGGAGAGGAGAGAGAGAGAAAGGGAGAGAGAGAGAGAGAAAGAAAGGGAGAGGAGAGAGAGAGAAAGAAAGGGAGAGGAGAGAGAGAGAAAGAAAGGGAGAGGAGAGAGAGAGAAAGAAAGGGAGAGAGAGAAAGAAAGGGAGAGGAGAGGGAGGGAGAGGAGAGAGGGAGAGGAGAGAGAGAGAAAGAAAGGGAGAGGTGAGAGAGGGAGAGGGGAAGAAAAAAGAAAGAAAACAACGAAAACATCGAATGACTAAAATGATCTGAATTTTAGTGGAGTTGCGAAGCTATCATTTCGAGTGCCGAATTTCTAAGCAGGTCTTCTTTAATTGGAGAGCTTATATTACAAAATCTTTCTACCGCCACCCAACACATTTGATATTTCTGCCATGCTTAACTGAACTTACTAAATATTAAGAGTGGCTTGAACGAAAGAGTTGCCGAATTCATAATTCATAAGAGATTTGATAACAAAGAATTCTCCATTTGTTAGCAATGAGAGCATCACTTCCGGATTTCTATACTCAGCTTCCATTTTCCGTTCATCTTTTATTTACTCCCTTCCAGTTTTTCTTTCTTTTCTTTTTTGATGTTTATTGTGGATTATTTAAATACTTTTCATTTTCCATTCCTTCCACTCATCTCTCATCCTTATTTATGTTCTCTTTAATTCTCTTTTATACTTGCTCTTCGTCACTAACTCAATATATTTTACTCCGCTTTCTTCATTCTTCGTCTCAAATTCTCTTTCGTTCTTCTTTATTTTTCCTTTGTTTTCATCTTCTTTCACACAATTTTCCTTCATTTCAAATTCTCTCCCGCCCTTTTTTTTCTCTTTGTTTCACCTAATTTTCTTTCATTTCAAATTTCTCTTTCCTCTTGTTTTCCTTTCCTTCAACAGTGATTCTTTCTTAAACACATCTTTTTTTATTTCGCTCTTTCAAATCTTATTCTTTCTTTCCCTTAATCACTCATTCTCTCTTTCATCTCTTTTTTTTTTCAGATTCTCTCTCGTCGTCGTCTTTTATTTCCCTTTATCAGTATTTTTTTCTTTAACTCTTCCATTTTCTGTCTTCTTTTCAAATTTTCTATTTTTTCTTTTATCATGCTTCCAATCCTTTTTCTTTTGTGCATTACATTTTTTTCGTTCTTTTCTATGCATTCTTATCAGTTACCATCTACTGTGATACTATTTGTAGTTGCCGCGGTAAAACGGAAGAAAGTTTTTTTTTAAACATAAAAAAGTGTTATGTATTGAGAGACATTGAAATGTGAAGGGTTAATACCAAAAACCCATGGGAAGAATTGAAGATTTAATTCACACATAAACGACTTGAATTGTATGTCGAGCCGTTTGAACAATGGAAAAGTGACCCAGACTTGGGGGAAAAGTTGATTGAGACACAGCTGAAAATGCAAGCTGTAAAGCGAAAATTTCATTTTACGTAAATACCGAATTTGGAGTTGATTCCCCTGGTCGAAGGTTGAAATACCAGGAGGGGGTGGATAAGCCACCCAAGCTCACTGAGGAGATTTAGGGAGAGGTAATAATATGAGAAAGTAGAAGGAGGGGATCCCCTAAAATTATCGAATTCTCTTATTCCCCAGATTGGGTGAATGTCAGTAAATACGAATGCGCGAAGCGAATTTGGCGGACGAGTTGCAGAAGAGACGAGACCAGAGACTGGAGAGAGGCTCACGTGATTATCTGCCGATGAAAGCCTTCGACTTCAGCCTTGTGCCGAACATTACTCTTTTTTCTTTCTTTTTCTTTCTTTCTCTCTCTCTTTCTTTTTCTTTCTTTCTCTCTCTCTTTCTTCCCTTACACATCACCATCCTGTTTTTAAAATTCTAATTTTATTCTCATTTCGTTCTATCCTCACCAGAACCACCACCATTTTTTTTCGTTCGCAGTTTTATCAACACCCCCCTTCTTTACTTTGTTTTTCTTCTTCTTTTTTTTTTATTATTATTCTTTTCTTCAACTCCAAAACCTCATTCTTTCCTTCTCGGCATTATCACCAGTTTCTCCTTCGTTACCGACAAATCACATATAACGACCATTGTCGCTAGGACAATGGCGACAGGAACCGGAAGTGATTCACGATGAAAGCACTGACAGTTTCTTTATACGGATAGATCCCTTTCACTTCTGTAATGCAGACCCCCATTTAATAGACAAACACCCAAGCGATAAAGTAACCAAAGGCGAATGCAGTAATTCATACACCGAAACAAAATAGGAGGTCACCTGCTGTAAAGCGATTGTTAGAAATATATTTTCACAAGCCATTGCAAACGATCTCGATCTTTATTGAATGCTTCTTTTCCTAATGTCATGTTCCTTCTGGACGTAGTCGATTATGGCTCTCCACGGGTTCCTTTACTTTATTATTTGATCACTGCCTGGCATTCTTTGGAAAGATAGTAGAGTGGCTTCCGTTGCCTTCTGCGCGATTTGAAATTAATGAAACATTGATTAAAGAACAATGTAGACTGGGCACTCCAGCTTTAGATAGTAACCAGTTTAAGAGAAGACAACTCTGAATTCCAAAACAGTAGCGAAGGCAACTGGAAACTCCTACAGTTTTATTTCCAAGGAACTATGGCAGTCCACAAGAAAAAGAATATGTGGAGTCATAATCGTCTATGTCCTGAAGGAACATGTTATTAATGAGAAATAGTTGCACAAGAAAGAAAGTGTAAAATATGTTTTTTTATGAGTATATATATACGTATGTATGATTTCATATGAAATCACACGAAAAGATATCTAATGCTGTTCCATGTGACATTCATTGATTTCATGTACCTTCTGTGGCAAGGTTTGCAGAAATTCTATCGGCCTAACAAAACATCCAGATCAGACAGTAGTCAGTTACCGACTAACATGTACATCACGTGGTCTCAAGTGCAAATCAGTGCCAAAACTTATGAGTCATCTCAGATGACATCAGCGAGAAGATGAAAATCGTATGTGATTAAGGACGAGTTTAAGAAGTAGCCATACTCGAGCACGAGTGGACTTCCATCATATATAGCGGCTCGGATTGAGGGATCGGAGAGCCGAGTTCAAATTCCAGTCGAATCCATTACATTCACTTACGTGCTAATACCCTTGGGAAAGGTATTAATTCTCTTCTTCTCCCTCCAGCTATGGGTAAATAGCAGGAGAGACTGAGTTCTATAGCCTTGGATGGCAACTGGTCAAGTGAAGGACAACTCTGAATTCAAAATTTATGGAGGGTCGTTTGGGAACCTTGCGGCACGTAGTGCACCGGGTTTTTGTATTCAGCCCTTCAAAAAGTGTGATTGGTTCTTCACAAAACCTTCATCACTATAATCAGATCATATTTGCTGGTGTCTGGCTGTCGATTCCTAGGAACTGAGCTGCTTGACCCTCATACGTCGAGTACGACGGGAGAGTCCACTATATATATATGCCTATATTTCGGAATCATGTTTTCATTAAGACATATTTGTACAGTTTAGACATATTCTGTCTACTAATTTTCCTTAAGATCCTTTCATACTCACGGAGGAGTTTTTGCTGTTATTTTCTCTTGTCTTTCAGTAATGACATCAAGAGACTTAGCCGAGTGTATGAAAAGATCTTAACAAAAATGAGTAGACAGAATATGTCTAAACTGTACAACGAAACATTTCTTAATAATATATATATATATATATATATATATATATATATATATATATATATATATATATTAACTCGTCAGCCCGCGAAGGTAGTCCATCTCAGAAAAGGAAAACTCTGATATTAAACATCCGCTCCCTTGCACTCATACTCATTCATGTAAAAGGTTTCGGGGGTAAACCCTGAGAACAAATCCAAAGCCGGAGTCATTAAGACAGTCCGATATTATGTTCAACTTCGTTCTGACAATTTTTGCGATAACGCCGGTGCCAAGCTGTATTGGTCTATGTCTTTTCTTTGAACAACATCGTGGAGAGGGAAACAGCTGCCGATCTTTCGTAAAACCCTGCCCAGGCCTGCGCCCTAGAGTGGACACTCCAGCGTTGCCTCCCAGCGACGGCAAAACACGTGAAGCAATAATACGGCTATATCGGGAGGAGTGCGTCTTCATATGCATTCGTTGTAATCGTCACTGTCATTCATGGGGGGGGGCGTGTACAGCCATAACACATGATGCGCCGCTATAAGCAGCAGAGGCGTAACTACTTAATTTCTATGATTTATTTTCCTGTCATCCATACAGGAGTTTCAATTTTTATAGTTAATACTGGATTTCACTGTGGGCATTCATTTGTTAAAATAAAAAAAAAATGAAGAAAAATATAATATAAATAATATGAATATAAATAAATAACGAAAATATCGAAATGAAAATTTGCATGTTTTGTCCTTATCATTAAAAAAAATGAATAATTTGTGTCTTAGCCTCCAAAAACATATTTTGTGTATATCCATTAAAATGTGACATTTGAGAATTACGTCCAACCATTGCCTTGGATTTTTTCGCAGTACAAAGTAAACACTCTCTCACAAGCCGACGTTCTGGCTATGACGATAAACTACATCCATGTCCTGGGTAAAGACGTAAAACTACATCCAACAGCAAGGTCTCCGATCAGGAGGTTTTCAGGAGCGTAGAACCACGTCTTAATTGCTGGTGTTCCCAGGTCCACCCTGAACCGGGGTGGTAGCACCTATTAGGGCCCAAGCTATGGGCAAATTATTAACCCCTAAATTGAGGTAAAAAGCATTATGAAAGTGTAAAACTAGGTTTTAATACCAGAAATACTTTGTAAAAAAAAATTGATGAAAAAAAACTATTACCAGCAATACATTTTTTAAAATTATATTACCAGCAATACATTTTTTAAAATTATATTACCAGCAATACATTTTTTAAAATTATATTACCAGCAATACATTTTTTAAAATTATATTACCAGCAATACATTTTTTAAAATTATATTACCAGCAATACATTTTTTAAAATTATATTACCAGCAATACATTTTTTGTTTAAAATTATCTTACAAGCTATACATTTTTTAAAATTATATGACCAGCTATACATTTTTTTTAAAATTATATTACCAGCTATACATTTTTTAAAAAATTATATTACCAGCTATACATTTTTTTTAAAATTATATTACCAGCTATACATTTTTTTAAAAATTATATTACCAGCTATACATTTTTTTAAAAATTATATTACCAGCTAAACATTTTTTTAAAAATTATATTACCAGCTATACATTTTTTAAAAATTATATTACCAGCTATACATTTTTTTTTAAAATTATATTACCAGCTATACATATTTTTTTAAAATTATATTACCAGCTATACATTTTTTTTTTTTAAATTATATTACCAGCTATACATTTTTTTTTTTTAAATTATATTACCAGCTATACATTTTTTTTTTAAATTATATTACCAGCTATACATTTTTTTTTTAAATTATATTACCAGCTATACATTTTGTAGGAAAAAATATTACCAGAAATAGATTTTTGACAAAAAAAATATATTACCAGGAAAAATAAGTTGTCGGCATTAAATGACCCAATGAGATTGATATGCCATAAAACAAAACAAACCAAACCAAAAACTCACAAGCCGCAAATCTTTTGTCCACTGACTTTATTGTTGGAACTTGTGTTTTCGTCGTCTTTGGTTCGTCACTGACTTGTTCCAAGAGTCTCACTCTCGTGCCTAAAGATACGCAGAAATGGCGTGGGGGTAAGAAGTTGACAGATTTATCCCACGCACAAACGTGCTATGGTCAAACGAAGTGAGGCAAAAGGTCTTGGTCAAAATCCACGTCTAATTGGATCGTCCCTTTCAAAAGACTAAGTTTCCATGGATATTTGCGATTTTGAAAACTGAAGAAGCATTTCTTAAAGTGTGCATAGAGAATGTTATCGTAAAACAATGTAATCATATAATAGCAAATTCAAAATCCGTAGAATATTAAGAATATCGAACTGAAAATGCACCTCAACGAGGATAAAAATAACGGTCGGTAGTATATGAGGCAATGAAGTCTATCAGCGCGGCAAAGTGGTTACTATAATTCTTTTAACGGCACTTCCGATGACTACATTTGGTAACTAGATCTGATATTTCCAATCTTATAAAATCCGATTTTATTTCTTCAATTATAATTAGTCCTCCAAACTCGACTTTATTTAGAACTTTTATTTAGAACTTCCTCACCGCCCACATGCCCTGTTAATGTTCATCGATCGATAGACCAGGTCATTGTCTCTTCGAGTCCCGTCTTCATTTCTAAGGACTTTCTGTCGTTTAGTAAATGAATATGTCTAAATATTCATTTGAAATACAGAGGAAATGTTTTAGGTTGAGAGAAAGAGAAATAGGACAGGATTAATGGCTGAACATTAGTTTAGACTGCATTTGAAACTGAGTTATATCAATGTAAGACTCAACCAAACGTCCGGCACTTTAATATTGCTGCGAATCAAGCAAACGTCCGGCACGTTGATATTGCTGCGAATCAAGCAAACGTCCGGCACATTGATATTGCTGCGAATCAAGCAAACGTCCGGCACGTTGATATTGAATCAAGCAAACGTCCGGTACGTTGATATTGCGAATCAAGCAAACGTCCAGCACGTTGATATTGCTGCGAATCAAGCAAACGTCCGGTACGTTGATATTGCTGCGAATCAAGCAAACGTCCGGCACGTTGATATTGCTGCGAATCAACCAAACTTCCGGCACGTTGATATTGCTGCGAATCAACCAAGCGTCCGGCACGTTGATATTGCTGCGAACCGACCAAACTTCCGGCACGTTGATATTGCTGCGAATCAACCAAGCGTCCGGCACGTTGATATTGCTGCGAATCAACCAAACGTCTGGCACGTTGATATTGCTGCGAATCAACCAAGCGTCCGGCACGTTGATATTGCTGCGAATCAACCAAGCGTCCGGCACGTTGATATTGCTGCGAACCGACCAAACTTCCGGCACGTTGATATTGCTGCGAATCAACCAAGCGTCCGGCACGTTGATATTGCTGCGAATCAACCAAGCGTCCGGCACGTTGATATTGCTGCGAATCAACGAAACCTCCGGCACGTTGATATTGCTGCGAATCAACGAAACCTCCGGCACGTTGTTATTGCTGCGAATCAACGAAATGCCCGCTTGATAAAAATCATTTTACGCATAAACTTTCTGATAGTAAGGATTTCATTAACAAAACTGGTTTCCGAACTTAATTTTCTAATTTCTCCCTTTTTTTTTTAATTCTTATACGATTTCAACTTGTCTCAATTCGTTCACTGTTCATTTAAATTCTCTCCACGCGGCAAGATGCTCAATATGCGTTTTTTTTAGCCGCCGTTTCGACGATTAGCTTGAGTTAAAAGTTATGAAATATGAAATGTTCTAATATATCTGATTCTATTTCTACAAATATTGTTTGCTCTCCGAAACACGGCCGTTAGTAATTTCTTTAGAACTGCCTCATCTCACAATTGCTTTCTTCATGGTATTCTCAGAACTCGTCTTTCAAATATCTTCTTCATTTATAAACTGGTAAGATTGAGTAAATAAATATGCCCAAACTTTCATTCAACGAAATATTTATATCTATAAATATAGAGGAAATATTTTAGGTAGAAAGAGAAAATGAAACAGGTGGGTAATATGTTACAGTTAGAAACCTATAATTAATACCGGATTTTTATTTTTATATCATCAATGCTAGAATTTTATTTTAATTTCTATAACTGATATTCAATGTTACGGTGGCCATTCATGGGTTAAAAATAAATAAAGCAAGTATTTGTAGTTGGTGTTCACTTATAAGAGAATCAATTTTGTCGGTTCTTTCATGTTCGTTTTCACAACAATAATTCTTTTTTTTTTTCCTCTTCTTCTTGTTCTACTCTTCTTCTTTCCTCGTACTGTCCTCTTCTTCTTTCCTCTTATTGTTTTCTTCTTTTTTTTTCTCTTATTGTTTTCTTCTTTTTTTTTCTCTTATTGTTTTCTTCTTTTTTTTTCTCTTCTTCTTTCCTCCTCTTCTTGTTCTTTTCTTTCCTCTTACTGTTCTTTTTTTTTTGGTGTTTCCTATCTTTCATGCTCGTGTTATTCGTCCACCGGATTTAAAACAATTCCGCCTAACCTCATCGGTAATGAGATTTTTATATTCTTTTTTTGACGGTCGGAAATTTGCATGTTACGAGAATGTAACGTTCTTTATTGTTCGCCTTATGAGCGACCCTCTTTTTATCTCTGGATTTCCTTACATTCAATGCACGTGCAAAGTCTTTGAGCAATTGGCCGGTCATTTTTTTTTCTTTTACTTGGTTTTTCCTTTGTTTCTCCACCTACAATATTGAACTAGAAACGTACGTCTGCGAGGGTTATGGGTAGCGAGCGATCATATCTAAGTCACTGAAATCTCTCCAAATCATAAAGCTTTCCTCTAACTGTGATTTCAACAATTACCTTAGTTTGGTGACTAGGTCTGAAATTTATTATCTTAAGAAATTTGATTTAATTTCCTCAAAAACAGCAACTCGAATTCTTTGAAATATGAAGGACTTGCTGTGCAAATGAAGATTGTACACAACATACCTCAGTTTCGTCTTAGTACCTCTCCTTCGGGAGGGGGTGGATTAATTACCCGTCACGTGAGTGCTGAGGGGGCTTGAGCAATTTTTCCACAGTACTACCGGTAAACCGATATTCGGTAGTGAAATGTACGCGCACTGAAAAAAAATCTCTACCTTGGTTTCGCTTGTCTTTCGATTAGCTTGTTAATAATCAAATGACCAATCAAATAATATTGTGGGATCTTCCACAACAAACCTGCCTTACCACTTTTTAGGAAATGCACTCTTCCTATCTGGTAAGTAACATCCTACTTTCATACAATATAACAAGTATTCATTGGTCAATCACCTCCAATCAAGCTTGCTGATTGGTCAGTTCCGACTAATCAAACCGCCTGCACGCAACCAATCTGTTTTCCCACGTTCTCCGTTTGAGCCTCCCACGTGGTACACGACCATTACATAAACCGTACACGTGTGAACTCTCTGAGTAGTTTTTCTTTTCATTCATCTCTCTCGCACGTCTCATTCCTTGCTACCAAGTGCCAAGATGTAACCTTCAGGAACTCCGGTCTTAATTATTGCTGGCCAGACGTTAATGACAATTACCAACATTCACGAACTCTGAAATCACTCCTGAACTTTTACCAACTTTGTAACTCATAATTCCAAACTTTCTTAATATGAACTCCGGTACAACTAATACCTAATCAAAGGGACACGACTCTGTCCTACCTTTTCAGTTCGCATGCAGGTACATCAAACATTAATAAATCTAATTATGTTTTGGATCATTCAGTTCAGTTTTGTATTTTATTCTATGTGCTATTTACGTCAAGTATAAATTGCATTGCGTCCACGCATTGTCCTTAATCTCATCTTTCTTAGCCAAAGTTAAATATTGTTAACTCAATCACTACAATAATGATGACCGCGACGTTCGTCGTTCACAACAACAATGGTAGCCCCTATCGCTACAATATCTAATGGAAAAAGTTTCAATTACACTCGTGCACTAAATCTGTACAATCCATGAACTTTTCAACAACTCTACAACGGATGTCATGTTGAAATCAACGCCCCTTTATTTAATTCATTCCACTTAATTTAAATTCATGTCTGCTGTTGTAGTTCTTACGCATTTTAAAAATGTTGGCCACTCTCTTGCTTTTTCATATTTAGCCTCAAGTAAAAAAAAATCTAATCATAATAATTGTCTTACAAAAGAAATAAAAGAAAACATTTTCTGCTTCAACCATGACTGGATGTTCGCTTAAATATATATTCTACAATATATATTTAACTCTATAAACTTTTGTAGAGGTTGAACAAGAAGTCAGTACTGTTAAACCTTTACACAAGCCAAACATTCGACTCCCAGAATGCAATAGGCATATTCTTCTTCTTCTTCTATGTGCCGTGTCTCTTCAGGACGTGGGAGATCATAGCTCACCACAGTCTGTCATTTGTAACTCTTAATAAATTTTGTCGTTTTGTTATTTCTCCTAAACTTTATTCCGCCATCCATTTACTCAAGCTCACTAGGTAGGTTATGTGTTTTCCTTTTTCTCTCTTGCCTCTAATCTCTCCTGTGAGTATAGAATTTTCCAAGCCTTTTATTCCTCATTATGTGCCCTAGAAATTTCAACAACCTCTTTTCGATGGGAACTATAAGCGTCCTTTTTGTTTCTATTTTCTATAGAACTTTGTCGTTTTTCACTCCGAGTCGCTATGAATTATATCCACGACTCGATCGTCTTTCATGCTAGACTCAATCATCAGGCCACTGACGATTGCGTCTAGCATGAAACAGCCTGTCGCCTCTAAGTGTTGACTTCAATGTTCACTTTTATATTTACACGCGCTCTATCCCTGATAGTGAGCACTTTATCCCATTAATATAGCACACATTAAGAGTATATTTCGACGTATGAGGGTCTAGCAACTCAGTTCTTAGAACCGGACAGCCAGGCTATTTGTTCATGTTCTTTGATTATAGTGGTCAATCTTTGTGCAGAACTGCTCACTTTTTAGAAGAGCGGAATAGAGAGAACCGGCACACCGTATGGCAAAAAGTCCGCTAATGGCCATCCTCAACTTTGAATTCAGAGTTGCCAACCGAAGCCATAGGACCCAGTCTATCCTGCTATTTGCCCATAGCTGGGGGTGGGGAGAATGGATGGTTTCATTCCTTTCCCAAGGCTATTAGCACGTGCGTTTAATGAACTCGACTGGAATTTGAACTCCAATTCTTCAATCCGAGCCGTTATCCATTACTCACCGTGCTTTCTCTCTCACGCACATATATTTCTCATACATACACACACACACACACATATATATATGTGTGTGTGTGTGTGTGTGTGTGTGTGTGTGTAGACAATGAATATTTTGTGTTGGTTAATTTTATTTAACGACTTTTCCAAATTACGAATAATCCTTCTCAGACAAAAAGGAATGTGTGTGCGCGATAAATTATAATTTCCTCCTTATTAAAATGCCAATTGTGACATGTTCAGCGAGTCTCGCTTTAGAAGACTGTCCCTTTGAATAAAGGACTTTTGAAAGAGATTATTGAATTTGGCTCAAATAATGTCATGTTGAATTTTTCACAAACGAATTGGGGCAAAATTTTCAAATAGGAAATTTGGGTCCCTTACCAGCTTTTGCTTGATAACCGAATTTCACCATCTGCAGCAAAAAGCCCAACAGTTTATTTTCACATCACGTTGTTACAGGTGATGAAAAATAGGATTTGCAAGTAAACAAAAACTTAAAGATTTATGCTTATCGCAAAATGAAAAAACCAATGACAAAGCCAGAATCAAGAATGTATCAAAAAAGTCCTTGCTTCGTGTTCGGTGAAATATTAAAGGTATCGTAAATTACGAGCTAATGGAACATGGAAGGACCATCACTGCAAGCATTTATTTCCAATATATTCAGGTTAATGAAATAATACTTTGCAAGTATCCGTCTTTGGTAAATTTGAAAGCTTATCAATGCAAAAGCGATTTGATCAAAACAAGGAAAAAAAGAACGACATTTTTGATGACGTAATCATCAGACTATTCACCTATAAATTTTCGTTGTTTCCAACGCGAGATCATTTTATGAGTGGAATTATTTTAATAAATAGTTAAAATCTGTCCTTTAAATATCTTTTCGGGCTTAAAAACAAACAAAAAACACTTTTCCAAATCTGAAATTAGAACACTCGTTTGGAAACATCAATAAGATTGACAGTCACAAAATACCTTTAATTATATATATGTCATCCACAAAGAGACTGTTTCGCAGCTCATCAGTGTAACTAGACATCTGATTGCCTCAAGCCAGGATCGAAAACCGACTGATTTAGTATCAGTCGGAGACTCTACCCCTAAGCCATTGGTTGACTGTGATCAGTCATATATATATATATATATATATTGTTTTACTACTACACACAAAAGACAATGGTTGAAAGATTTAACATAGTGAAAATCATTCATTTCTTTAAATTATATTTGGAAATAACCAAATATATATAGAATAAAGTATATATATATATATATATATATATATATATATATAATCAAAAACGTTTGCGGCTTTTTTCTCTTTAAAATATGCACATTTCTCGCTTTCTCTCGTTGGAACAAAAAAATAATCTTTCCCTTATATATATATATATATATATATATA